AGGATTCAAACAATGTCGAACACCCAACTACATTTTAAATGGTAGCCAACAGGGTCGTAATGTACTGACTCAACACATTGTCGAAATATAAAATAGATATAATATAATATGCTTAGAAATATGACGGCTTGAAATAATTATGACAGTTTTATTGGCTATTTCGACCATGCATTGAGTCACTACGTTATGACCTTGTTAGCTGCCTATCTATAGTATCGTAGATACATCATATGATTGAAAGCTACGTTGTTGTTGTAAATTTTTTTATCATTCGGCGTATTCTTTTGGATTATTTTGTGAAACAGTCCTCCAGTGGGACAGCAATAAGTTTACAGATTGTTTTATAACACCAAAATGCAGGGGTTGATTCCTCGTGATGGACAAAGAAGATAGCCCAATGTAGCTTTGCTCTTAAACAAACAACCCTGTCCAAATAACGATAATGTATACTTATTTATTTATTTATTCAACAAAAAGTACCCGTCCCCAGTGACGGAAAAGTTTAAGTTCATCTATCAATTTAAATCATCTCTTTATACAGTAAAGATTGGCCCCAAAAGAGGGAGGTGGAATACCAAAATAATAAATAAATCTTTATAAATAAGAAAGTAAAAGAAGTTTATTTGATTAGCTATAGTCCCCCAGGTTAAATTTTAGTTTCACTTTAAGCAGGTAGCTTGCTCTGTTCGGAAGCTTATAATAAATTAATCAGTAGGTTTGTGGAATTAAAACAGAGAACTCCTGCCATGGTCCACAGTATTGGGTTATTCATTCTCTTACAATCTGCCGTCTGAAGTAATGATAACAAATGGTTTTTATTTCCAGAGTTTATTCTATCATACAATAAAATATAAAGCATACATAGAATTATACAAAAAGACCCCAATTGAAAAAGTTAGAACATTTAATCTTTGACAGAAATATAATATTTCACTGAGGTATAATATATGATAAAACCATGAAATCTCATGCTTATATTAAAAATGGAAATATATCAAGGTGTAAAACATTAAGGTTAGTCATCGAGTATCTCACTGTTAAAACTATTTTAATCTTCCTGGTATTTAAGGTTTCATTAAACTACATACAGAACTGTATACAGATGTAAAAAAGTTAATTGTGTTGCACTCTTGGTTTCATTCAGAGCCAAAGCTCCGAGTTATTCATACCGCCCACCGCGAAAAGTAATTGTTGAGCATTTCAGTCATGCTAAGAGCCAACAATGACATACGGTATATCTATATTTTTATTCTTTAAGTTACGTCACATTTTGAAATGTGAATGATAGTGTGGTTAATTCTTAACAACTTGTGTAGAATATCCTGTTTGTGAAATAAAATTCGGTATCAATGTTATTCATACCTGTTCTTCTGTTATTTCAAAAGTGAATATTGAGCTTTGCTTGGGTGCGCAGCTTTTAAAAAGCAGCGCGGCAAGTGGCTGCCTTAAATGAACGCTAGGACAGACTGTTCACTGTACTTAACTTGTGTCCAGTATCTTTTATTGCTTTAAACCATGTCAAGATAATTAAGATAACGCAGATTTTGCCCCATAAAACATTTTCTGATGTGCTTCCATTTATTCTGCGGTTCTTACCCAATTATTCTAACGGAAATCAGTGAACATTAATAATAGTTTCTAATAGTGCCACTGGGTGGCGACACTGGGTGACAATATTGCTTCGTCGGTCTTTGTATATTCCTATACTGTGAGAGTTTGTAATTGTCGTTTTCAAATTATATATGTACAAGCGAAAGTACCCGTCCTGAGTGAAGGGAAAAGTTGAAGTTAATCTATCAATTTAAGTTATTTCATGGATTTTAAAAAAGGGTAATTGTGTTGCACTCTTGGTTTCACTCAGAGCCAAAAGCTCCGAGCTACTTATACCGCTCACCGAAAAAAGTAATTGTTGAGCAATGCTAAAAGCCGCTCAACAATAACATACAGTAAATCTACGTTTTTATTCTTTAATTAAGTTACATCACATTTTGAAATGTGAATAATAGTGGAATTAATTCCTGACAATTTAGTGTAAAATAAAATTTGGTATCAACATTATTCATGCCTGTTCTAACGTTATTTCGAAAGAGAATGTTGAAATTTGCCTGCGTGCGCAGCTTTTCAAACAGGAGACAAACAAAGGCTCGGACAGACACCACGGTTCGTAATGTATATAAGACAACCATTTGCTGTAGTCATGTTCACTTGTAGGCCTAATTTCATAAATAAACTTTTCTAAATGAACTCTTAAATTCCGAGACTAACGGTATGTACGCCTAATTTAGATCAATAAACAACATATTGTTACGACAGCGGAAGTCACGCGACGATGAGAGCATGCGCGCTGGAGTTTCTAGAAGGATCGTTACTTATCTGGGAACCTCGCAAATGTCCCAGTGTTTGCTAAACGCCCTCTTTTTTTAGTATATAAGCCAGTGATAGATAGATATGCAGATAGATTGAAGATAGAGATAATTAAGTCAAGCGAACAGTAGGCACCGTAAGTAAAGTGTGTGAATCACTGTGATTTATAGTTTGTGTTATAAAAGTTGTTAAGTGTATTACAAAGTTGTATCGAGAAAGAATAAACTGCTTTTAATTAAGAAGGGATTTGTATCGCTGAAGTTTCTCGGAAATATTTTTTACTAGAAATTATCAAACAAGCAGATAGGTAACAATATTAACTCACCAAACAACTGAGTAGCAGAATAGACGTAAAAGCTCTTACGTCTAACAATGAATAACTTTTCTGATACTGAGCTGACTGAATCATTGATTACCTATATATATATATATATATATATACACAGCGTGGTCACAAGT